TTCAATCCTATGGGATGTATGTCCTAGAATAGCTACTTCGCTGGCTAAAAAGACCTGAGGTTCAACTTTTTTTATAAAAAAAACCCAAAACTTAATTGCTCTTTCATTCTTGCTCACAATTTATTTTGCTTCACGAAGTAATGTACTCCAGAAATAAATAGTCTTCTATACTTTAAGGAAACAGCTCCATATAGTTGCCCTGGTTTTAAATGGCTAATTTCCAGTGCAGTTTTACCTTAGCTCCTGATTGGAACTGCTCAGGATTTCAATTTAAGGAGGATATATTTGTAGAACATATTATTGCTACTGGGCACGTAATTCTTCCTTTCAGTCATCACAAGCTGTCATTCGTTTCAAACATATACGTGAAAAGTCCTGGTGAAAACTCACTGCTCATTCTGGACATGGCCTCTTATGGAATGATTTCTCTCATCTGGTCTAGAGCACTAAAGTATCGCTCCAACTTCCAAAATCCTAGAGCCTTTTGTGGTTGTGCCAATTTAAAAAGTTGAATCTTGTTCTTTATTTTTATACCTCTACAAGGATTCAATGTTGTAGAAAATGATGCTATTGTTAAGAGACACAGCAGGAACTCTCTTAACCATAGAGGGCAATACCTCCTCTGCATACATTTTGTCATAAATCAGGGTCAACTTAAAGTACATAAGAACAACATGTATACCATGTGCCTATTTAGTGTGGCTTTTGTGATGCACTCTTTTATCACTTTTAGGAGATTCTGAAGCCTAATTTACATTTTCCTCTGTCGTTTCATATGGATTTTCCCTCTCCATCCCCAGTTCATTTATTCAAACCACATCACATACTGAATCTAAAGTTGAGCAAATAAGTCTCTCTTTGGACTCTTCTCAGTATTTCCATCTTCTTTTAATGTGGTTTGCTTTCTCTTCTGCTTTGCATCCTATTGATCACCTCCTGCAAACCTTTCAGCTCTTCTATGAGGATATTAATGGAATGTAAAACTGGGGCAGGATGACTTTCTGCTTTCAGAGGTTTAAGACTTGAGACAAATAGAAACCTGTGAAGATGTAAACTGGCATCTATTTTCCAGTTATAACTGCTGGATTTCCCCTACTTCCTCGCAGAATTCAAAAGTATGTCACAAAGTATGTCAGTTGCCTCCAATATATCAATTTGTAGTTCTACATGCAATATACAAACAAACAAATTCAGTTTTATAGAAAATGCATTTTGTTCAAATAGCCACAGTCTAGCAATGACTGAGATAGAGAACAACTCGTGCTGGAAAGGCTGTAGTCATCCACATCGTTTATTCTTCCTCCTAACTGAAGTGAGATATATTTGCAGTGAGCAAAAAAATGGCAAACCCAAAACCATCACCTTTTGGTTATTGAGATTTTAATACAATAAAAATAGTATACTGTTATTTTCACGCAGGCTTTTTTGTTTCACGAACAATCTGATAATATCAGATTCTCACAGATGCACAGACAATTTAGCAAATCTATATCAAGTATACAACCTTAATAAAAACATTTTTGTTCTAGGAAAAATAATAATCCACACAGCAAAATTCAGTCAAATATGTTTAACTACATTTAATACAAATTTGAATGAGGTAAGAACTCATCAGTTTGCTTGGCTAAAAGTAATCATAGAATCATAGAATCAAAGAGTTGGAAGAGACCTCATGGGCCATCCAGTCCAACCCCCTGCCAAGAAGCAGGAATATTGCATTCAAATCACCCCTGACAAATGGCCATCCAGCCTCTGCTTAAAAGCTTCCAAAGAAGGAGCCTCCACCACACTCCAGGGCAGAGAGTTCCACTGCTGAACGGCTCTCACAGTCAGGAAGTTCTTCCTAATGTTCAGATGGAATCTCCTCTCTTGTAGTTTGAAGCCATTGTTCCGCGTCCTAGTCTCCAAGGAAGCAGAAAACAAGCTTGCTCCCTCCTCCCTGTAGCTTCCTCTCACATATTTATACATGGCTATCATATCTCCTCTCAGGCTAGTTTTAGATTAAAATGTAATGAAACAACATTACAGGTTGGGTATGCCCATATCCAAAATGCTTAGATTGAGAAATGTTTTGAATCTTGATTTTTTGTATTTTGGAATTTTTGCATACACATAATGAGATATTATGGAGATGGGATCCTAGCCTGAACATGAAAGTTATTTATGTTTCATATATACTTTATACACATAGCCTGATGGTAGTATTGTTTTTACTTATTTTGTGCATGAAACAAGGTTTGTGGACACTGATCCATCATAAAGTCAATGTACCTTTATTCCTGCCAGCTATGTGGACAATTTTGGATTTTGAAGCACAGGCAGTCCCCAGGTTACAAATATCTGACTTATAGAGGACTCATAGTTGAGAATGGAGGTGAGACAACAGAAAGCGAGAGAAACTACCCCCAGGAAGGGAAAATCACCCCTGAAAGGGTTATCATGGGGAAAAGCTGTCTAAACGGAAGCTTTCTCACCAGTCCTTGTTTCCACAACAAGCCAATTTTTTCAAAGTCCAGTTATCATGTAGAACCTATCTTGCTTGTAGAACCTATCTTGTTTGTAACTTGGGGACTCCCTGTATTTCAGATTTCTGGATAAGGGATACTCAACCTATATCCCTTTGAAAGGGACTTTTAGATCATCGAAGGCTTTCATGGCTGGAATCACTGGGTTGTTGTAGGTTTTTCGGGCTATATGGCCATGTTCTAGAAGCATTCTCTCCTGATGTTTCACCTGCATCTATGGCAAGCATCCTCTGAGGTTGTGAGACCTCACAACCTTGGAGGATGCTTGCCATAGATGCAGGCAAAATGTCAGGAGAGAATGCTTATAGAACATGGCCATATAGCCCGAAAAATCTACAACAATCCAGACTTTCAGTTCTTTAAATTCTGGAGGAATGTCAGAAGGTGTCAGAGTGCTAGCCACAATTTTCATAATACAGTAGAATCTCACTTATCCAACCTTTGTTCATCCAACGTTCTGTAGTATCCAACGCAGTCAGCCTTCCGCCCGGATCCACATCTTTTTCAATACATTGCAATGTTTTGGTGCTAAATTCGTAAATACGGTAATTACTACATAACGTTACCGTGTATTGAACTGCTTTTTTCTGTCGATTTGTTGTAAAACATGATGTTTTGGTGCTTAATTTGGATAATCATAATGTAATTTGACGTTTAATAGGCTTTTCCTTAATCCCTCCTTATTATCCAACATTTTCGCTTATCCAACGTTCTGCTGGCCCACTTATGTTGGATAAGCAAGACTCCACAGTATAAGTTTCTTGTCCTCACATTAGTTGACTCGCAAGGGGGGGGTTACTTTTCATACATTAAAATGCCTTCATTTATTATTTATTGGCTTTATTATGCTTTTCTTTATTATTGTGAATCAGTGAAACCCAAAGGAAGCTTAACAACATAAATATCAACATCAAGAGAACTTTATCCAAAGTAAATATATTTAAGATGGGAACTAATGGATAGCATAAAAGTGGAAAGAAGAGACATGCATACCACCTTAACTTCACTGAATGAAAATCATGTAACTGCTAAACAAAAAATCACAGGCAATTTGCTACAGTGAAGTATTTGTATGTTGTATGTGTTATATAAATTAAGATATTGCAATTCTACAACCTTTAATGATGTTTAAACACACTGTAAATATATATTTATACACACACACACACCATATGTTTACAAGTTGCCAAATGATTGCAGTGTAACAAAAAATATTTGGCTTCAATAGGTTATTAACCTTAGGCCCAAACATGGTGTGTGACCTTAACCAACATGTTGTGGTGGAAAAAAACTGGTCAAGTACATATGTGTAAATTTACCTCTTTGAATGCTGATCACATAGAAATGTGATTGGTCAAAACAATGGAATTTCCCAGCTAAAAATTAATGTTGGTTTGACTGAAATGTATTTTAATAGTCCTTATTTGATACAGATCAGTTCATGGGTTGCAATTTACTTATTATTCCAGGAGTATTTATATTCTAGATAGAATCTGAACATGTGAGACTCACGTTTATGTTTACAGACTTGTATTATTTGTTGTTGTCACATTTCCCTTAGTACAATTATTTGAACTACATGGTTATATTTGTGATATTAGGTACAGTACTACCAAATGGAGGAAATTCAGGAAAGTGTGCATGTGTGTGTTTGCTTGCTTGCTTATTCAAGCAACATCTCTGAACATCCAAATTATTTTAAATATGAATCAAAGGCCAGTATCCAAATAACAAGGATTAATTGTAGATATAGCATTTTAATTGTATTTTTGTGTATAGATCTTTTTCAACCTGTCCTTATTTTTTAACTTCTCTCCTGTAACAGTAAGGATTATAAACTTACTTTAACAAATAAGATGCTAACAAGAGATTACAAGTACTGCTTTAATTGCTATGGCTCAATGCTGTGGAGATATGGGAATTGCAGTTTTCAAGGCCTTTAGTAAAAGTAAAGGTAAAGGTTTTCTCCTGGCATTAAGTCCAGTCCGGACCGACTCTGGGGTTGGTGCTCATCTTCATTTCTAAGCCGAAGAACCAGGTTGTCCGTGGACACCTCCAAGGTCACGTGGTCGGCATTACTGCATGGAACGCCATTACCTTCCTGCCAAAGCAGTACCTATTGATCTATTCACATTTGCATGTTTTCGAACTGCTAGGTTGGCAGAAGCTGGGGCTAACAGTGGGAGCTCATGCTGCTCCCAGGATTCGAACCTGCAACCTGTTGGTAAGCAAGTTCAGCAGCTCAGTGGTTTAACCCACTGCGCCACTGGGGACTCCAAGGCCTTCAGTATTCTTTGCAAATTACTGCTAGTGTATCACAAGACTATAGTTCTCAGGATTCCATAGCATTGAGCCCTGGTAGTTAAAGTGGTGTCAAGATGCATTAATTCTACAGTGCAGATGCACCTTCCATGTGATGTTCTGTCTCAGTTCCACAGTGGGGCACTTCCTGACTTGGAAACAAAAAGCACTCACCTCCCAGCTTTTTGTTGAGGGTTCACTGAAGAAGTTGTCTATCATGTCCAGCTCATCCTTTTCCACCACCACAAAACCCTGGTCCTTAGCATCTTTGCCATAGACATCAGGTGACCACTGCACAAAAAAGGTATATAGATGATCGACCCTGAAAAATAAGAAAGAAATACTGAAGGTTAAACAAAATGAACTTTGAAGTGTGCAAAGTTCACTAAAATACGAACACTGTTTGCCATCTGCTTAAAGGAGGTTTTGCACGTTTACAATGGGTATGGCAGCTGTTTGCTTTTTCTTCTTTATGCCCAGAAGTGTGATGACAGCTGAACCAAGGTGTATACTTTCTCCCTGTTCCCACCTCACACTAGTGAACACCCAAACTGAGGAAACCTGTGGATATTTGAGCAACAAGTCCCCTTTGCCACAAGAATTTAAAGTAGTTTTGGGATTCAACACCCAGAGTGAGGGAGAAGTTTAAGGTCTCCTTGCAGACAAATAATATAGGAAAGAAAAGAGTTTCTTGGCACTGTGAGGAATTCATATGTGCAGAGGACTCCACTGATTTGTTGTCCCCACAGCCATCTCATTGCCAAAGTGAACCTGGTTTGTGGTGCCACATGAAAGGAAGAGGCAAGGCAGCAACATTTTTATTGAGTCTTCTTGCCATGATTTCATCTGTCTCCTTATACATCAATTACAACTGAGTCATTCCACATTGCAAAACTGTCCTTTAAAAATTCATTACTTTCAGAATGGCACAAGGTTTACTTGAAAACTTTCCGACATCAGGAAGATACACAGGGCAATTTTGTCCTGGCACTCCTGAACTCCTTTTTGAGTTCTGGGGCTTGGAAGACGAAGGGAGGGGCGTTCTTTAAATATGCCTTACTAAAGACAACCGGCCGAGGGCGAAAAACTCTTAGACTGTAATGCCCTTGGGATCAGACGTTTTCGTCCAAGGGTAGACTGAAAGGCTTATAACAAGTAGACACCTGCCCCAGCTAAAACTTGCAGGAAGTTGTCCCCCCACTCCAAAACAGCAAGTTTTCCAGGTTTAAATCTTAATTACAGAATAGATCAAATAAATTGGTCCTTATCCAATTTTGTGTGTCTGGTCTTGTTATTTCAGAGGTGATCATCACTGTTTCCACCAGAGGTGGACTCACACTTGCTGAATTATAATCATCATCATTATCATCATCTTTATTTATAGGCTGCCCTATCTCTCTATGGGGACTCAGGGCGGCTTACAACAATATAAACATTCAATGCCAGCAAAATATATAACAAATAAAAAAAATCTCAAATAAACTTGACATAGTACATTTATCACATTTAACATATTAAAAACTCATTAAAATCCAAATAAAATAATTGGGGTTATGATGGTATACAGCAGACTAACAAAGATAGGTGCTCAATAACAAGACGGGCTGTATATAAGGCTCCATGCACCAGTTATACTAGGAGTAGAGAGTTAAAAAGAAGCACAGTCTGGTCGCATCCAAATGGCATAGGATAATTTCTGTACAATACCAGTAGGCTGTGTTTGTTAAACTGCCTTTCCCTGATCTAAGGATGCAAGTTCTGCACAGGCAATTCCTAATTCAATTTTCTGCAAGACAGGGTTTCAACTGATGAAAGCTTTTAGATATGCAGAGTTAACAGGCTTTCTGCCAAGCCCACAGACAGGGAGTCATGGGGAAACCAACAAAAAATCTACTTGTTAAAGAAAAGAAAGGAAAAATCAAACAGAGGTGAGGTTTTGGGCTTGAGTGTCATCAGTACGCCGATGACACTCAGCTGGTGCTGAAGATGGAAGGCCGACCGGACTCTGTACCCGATTGTTTCCATCAGTGCCTCGAGGCCGTTACTGGATGGCTGCGTGCCAGCAGGTTGAGGGTGAATCCAGCAAAGACGGAGATCCTATGGCTGGGTCGACCGGGCAGTGGGGACATCCAGCTGCCTACCCTGGATGGCGAGGCGCTACGCCCGTCATCATTGGTAAAGAGTCTGGGAGTCCTTTTGGACCCTCTGCTGACGATGGAGGCCCAGGTCTCCGCCGTTAGCAGAACCGCCTTTTTTCATCTGCGGCAGGCTAGATGGCTGGCCCCCTCCCTGTCCAGGGACGACCTAGCTACGGTGATCCAGGCCACGGTCATCTCAAGACTGGACTACTGTAACGCCCTCTACATTGGCCTTCCTCTGTCGGTGATCCGGAAGCTCAAGTTGGTACAAAATGCAGCTGCTCGGCTTCTTGCGGGAATTCCGATGAGATGCCACATAACACCAATCTTACTACAGCTGCATTGGTTACCAATTGAGCACCGGATCACTTTCAAAGTGATGGTACTCACCTTTAAGGCCTTGCATGGTCTGGGGCCGATGTACCTGAGGGACTGCCTCACCCCCTACCAACCCCAGAGATCCCTCCGTTCTGAGGACCAAGAGCTATTGGAAGTCCCCAGTGTCAAGACCTTGCGTCTAACAGCAACCAGATGCAGAGCCTTCATAGCAGTGGCACCATCACTCTGGAATACTCTGCCACCTGAAGTCCGTGCCTTGTGGGACTTACCAGCTTTCCGCAGAGCATGTAAGACATACCGGTTTCGACAGGCTTTTAATGTTTGATATTGTTGTTTTTAAATTGTTTTAAACTGCTTTTAAATTTTGTTAGATTTTAGCTATTCTTGTAAGCCGCTCCGAGCCCCAGGGGAGTGGCGGCATATAAGTTTAAATAATAAATAAAAAATAAATTTAAAAAATGCTTTCTTCTCAAAAGAATGTTATCAATAGATTTTTGCATTGCTGACACAGAAATGGATCAGATGCCTTTGAATGATCTTACTTCTCTCTGTTTCTAAGTGCTGGAGCAAGAAACATCTATTGCAGTTCACTTGTGCTACTTTCCGCTATACAATAAGACAGTGCAGGAAGAGTGCTGAAATCCAGTGCATTACTCTACCTGAGTTTAAAACTGTAATAAAGGCTATTTTTTACAGTAGGCCTATCCAGATGAATTGTTTTTAATATATACTGGTTTTACATTCTTTTTTTTTAACTGATGTTATGTATTGATTTTGCTATTGTTTCTCATCTTGATCCACGAGGTGTATGCAATAATAATAATAATAATAATAATAATAATAATAATAATAATAAATCACCATTGTTTATAGCAAAAATGTCACTATTCCAAAGTTATTCTTCTTATCATTACTCCTATAACATTTAAATAGCATGATTTCATGTTGAGGCTAACGTGTTATTTCCTGTCTCAACAGTTTTATTATTAAGCTTAACCTTGTTATCTTGATAAGAGGCTGAAACCCTAAACACACCAAGCAATGACAATCAAAACAACTGAATAACCTTGATGGCTGACCTTTTCAGAGTCACTCTTCTAGTGCTAAAAAAGCCCTATATTTGTACACAAATAAATCTGACCAAAGCTTACTGTGTGCAGTTTGCAAAAGTCCTTCATAATACCATAGGAACAAGATGTCTTGTTTTGCCTACCATCACACAAGGTGGGTTTTGCAACCACAACACCACAACTGCACCAAATCATTTCAATAAAGGAAAAGATTCAATGTAGTACGACTACTTTATTCTTTAGCCTGATGTCTGTCATTATTGGCCCAGAAAAGGGGGTGTAATAGCTGTAACTAAAAATCTCATCATACATATCACTTGTACATGTTGTACATATCACTTAGGGTGCATCTATACTGTAAAATTAATGCAGTTTGACACCACTTGAATTGCCATGGCTTAATGCTATGGAATCAAGAATTCTCATTTTACAAGAACATTAATCTTCTCGGCCAGATAGTGCTGATGCCTCTCCAAACTGCAACTCTACAACTGTACAACTGGAAGTAAGATCAATTTCACTCATTGAGATTAACTTCCAACTAGGCACTCAGGGGTGAAACAATGAATCTGATTTTTCTTCCACACCAATCTTGTAAAGAAAAGTATCCAGAGTCCTCAGCATAGTCTTTTGTACCAAGCTTTTGACATAAAGACAGTTCTTCTCTCAAGGCAACATTACACAAATATTATTCCATGAATGAAGCATAAGCTGGTCCTTAGGTAAACTGTGAATTTATCAATTGCACAAATGAAGCAAAACCCAAGGTAAACTGCAGAGCAACTATATAATTTTCTCTATTCTTTACATATTATTTTAATGTTTAAAACTTCTATAGCAGTACCTGCTTTCCAATATGCCAGTGCTTCAAAAGTAGCAAAACTATATAGAGCTGAAGATATATTTACATAATATATCTTCAGTGAGAGCAATCACATATAGTCACAAACTAAGAGCAGTTCATTTCTACTTACCCTCCAGAACTGATAGCATTCCCCATTGCGAGATACACAATGAAATCCTTTCAGTCAACAGACCAGTATCAATTGGGTCAACATGAACATTCAAGCAGAGTAAAGGAGGGCTCTTATAAAGCTCACTTCTTGAAGGATTACTGCTTCCTCAGTTACGTGCAAAAGGTAAGGACGTCTCTTGTTTCACAATCACAAGCCAGCAGTGACCAAGCCACTGATTAACCAAATTTCTTTGTTTCAGCTGACAGACTAATATTTTGGGACATTTTACTAAATGTCTAACGTCACACAGAGATCAGAGATGTCCGGCACAGACCATATGAGCGTTACTGCAGAGTAAGCTATATGCAACAGCCATGTGATCAACCAGCATTTAATTTTCAAGGTGGCTTCCTTGTTAGGCTATTCAAAGTGCTGATTTTGGCCTATAAATCCCTAAATGATTCCGGTCCAGCTTACCTGTCCAAACACGTCTCCCTTTATGAGCCAGCTAGAACACTAAGATCTGCTGGGGAGGTCCTGCTCTTTCCCGCCGTCCTTGCAGGTGCAATTGGACACAGGGCCTTCTTGATGGTGGCCCCTCAGTTGTGGAATTCCCTTCCTGATGAGCTTAGATTGCCCCCTCCCTCCTAGTGTTTAAGAAACAACTTAAGACTTGGTTATTCAAGCAGGCATTTAGTGAATGACAGAACTATGAAAATACAGAAGTAGCTAAAGACATCCCAGGATCAATGCAAGGTTTAAATGTTTTATGTTTTATCTGTGATGGTTGTTATAGTTTCAATGGTTTTAATCTATTGACACATGTTGTCAATTTGATATGTGATGTTTTATACATTTGGACATTGAATTATTGTTTATGATTATGTTGTGAACCACTTTGAGTCCGTCCCCCCCACCCAGGGGTGAGAAAAGCATCTCTAAATTCATCATAAGTACAATGTGCCCAAAAGAGGGGAGATTTCACATATTTTCATTGGCAAAGTACTGCTGCTGAAATCCATTTTAGCCAACGAAGGTGATAAAACCTGACTGACACTTTGAATGTAAAATGCTGACACTTTGAATGTAAAATGTCGCTGCAACAAAAATATTTATTTCGAATGATGTAGCACAAAACGTAACTGCCAAGTTCTTAAACTTTGTGGTTTTTTAAAAATATATTACAACTGTACCCTTGGTTCGCTCCTGATACGATAAATAAATACAGCACAAAACATGGTTTTCATATACCCTGGAAAGAACCTCAAAAGAATTTCATGAAAAGCTAACAGCTTACCTTTCTCGTGGAACAGCAAACCAGTATTCTGGCTGTTTTCTTTTTTTACTATATTGCTGAGTCATCGTAGAACTTTGGGAACTGAATGACTTCCTCATCGGCTTGCCCACTTTGATGCACAGAAACATTGGAGGGGCCTTGCTTTTTTCCTCTTTGGAAGGAAGCATGTCTGAATGGAACAGACCACATAAGATTACAATATAGCAAATGCACCAGTGGCACAATTCAACTTTCATCAAGAAAAGGCTGCATAGAAATGCTGGGCAGGATTTTGAATTTTATTTGCATTGCAAATACGGAGAAGCTGCCTGTCAATAAAAACACTGAAGCAGATTATGTAAAAGCAAACGCAAAAATATATACAGTGGTTTTGACTACACAACTACTTTCAAGAAATCTGTGGAATTAATCATATGCAAAACACACAACCTTCCATATGAAACCACTCGCAGGAAAATCAGATTAATGAACTTTAATGTGGTCCGTGTTATGAGGAAGATCCCAATATTCTAGTCTCACCCTAGCGTACAAGCATATCTAAGTTAACAAAGCCCCTGACAGTGAAGTTCTTCATTACAAAGACTTTTTTTCCTGTCCCACTCCCACTTTTCTTCCTCGTCTTGTCTAACTGGAAAGATGCAGAAGGAGGGCTGGAGATACAGACACTTGGTGTTGGGTTGCAGAGGCATGGCCACAGTATGGTAAAGGTAAATGTTTCCTCTTGACATTAAGTCTAGTCATGTCTAGTCTGGGGGGTGGTGCTCATCTCCATTTCCAAACCAAAGAGCCTGTGTTGCCTGTAGATGCCTCCAAGGTCATGTGGATGTGCATAAAGCGCTGTCACCTTCCCGCCAAAGCGGTACCTACTTATCTTCTCACATTTGTATGGTTTTGTACTGCTAGGTTGGCAGAAGCTGGGGCTAACAGTGGGAGCTCACCCCACTCCCCGGATTTGAACCATCAACCTTTCGGTCAGCAAGTTCAGCAGTTCAGCGGTTTAATCTGCTGTGCCATCGGGGCCACAAAATGCAATAAATAAAGAAGAGGATTCTCCCTCATCCATCAGGGAAGCTAAACACCTGTTGCCTCAATAATATTTTATTTAACATGTATGAACATCAAAACAGAAAATAGGAAGCATGCCTCACTACCTATACCCAGTATGTAAAAACAGACTCCAGATCTATAAAAAGAGAAGAGGATGCTGATGAAAGACCAAGTTTTCCCTGGATGCATTCTCAAAGAAGAATGCATCCTTATAAAGACGTCAAAATGTCTCTATAAGGATCAAAATATTTCTATATAACTATCAAAGGCTTACATAATTGGGATGTTTCATTCCACTTGCACATGTTGAACTGCACTCATTGTTTGTGGTGTAGGAAGGAACCGTTCTCTGTTCTTTCCAGGTTATTTCTGCCTCTGGGCACAAATTTTTCTGTTAAAGGAACACTGCCAAGGAGCGCATCTACTTTACTAACTGACGTACATATGTATATGCAAGTTTTAGGAAAGATCAAGAATTACAGTATATTGCTTCACAGTCTCATATGAAAGTTCACCAAAACAGCAACATCAAAAGCTAGATGGCAGTGGTAAGGCGGAGAAGCAGGGATAAAAAGGCCCAAGAAGCCAATCAGCAAGTACTCAAAGCACACATTCTACAGACCTGCAATACAGGATGGACATCCCTTATCCATAATTCCAAACTCCAAAAGATTCCAAAATCCAAAACTGACTATAGGGGTGACTGCAATACTAACACTTTAGTTTTCTGTTGGTTCAGTATACACAAACTTTGTTTCACGCACAAAAACATTACACAAATTAGATAAAATTACCTTCAGAGTAAATGCATAATTTGTATATGAAACAAATAAATGTTGTGTTTAGTCTTAGGTCCCATCTCCAAGATCCCATTTTGTGCATCTATTTTGGATAAGGGATACTCAACCTGTCTAGTTCTAGAATATGCTTGGACTGCTCTATCAAATGTCAAGATAGACACTGGAAACTTACTATGACAGCCTATATATATTTCATCATTTCCATAAACTTCATGCTCACCCAGGTCCGAGTCATGGTCTGGCATACCTTCTTCCGCAACTGTACCTACGCAATTTCCAGTGACACTTTAGAAAAAGCCATCTTGATATTACCCTGCACATTATACATAGTGTCCTAAGACTCAGCCTTGCAGAATGGTTGCTCATGAGTATTGAGATCATCAGCTAGAGGCAGAGAAGCCAACAGGAACTATATGAAAAACATAGTGGTTTCCGTTCAGTCTAAGGCCACATCTACACTGCCATATAGTGCCGTTTCAGAATTCAGATTAACTACATTAAACTGGATTATATGGCAGTGTAGATTTGTGTAATCCAGTTCAATGCAGTTAATCTGCATTCTGAAACGGCACTATATGGCAGTGTAAATTCGGCCTGAGATTCACTTTGAAGCCACCAGATATAGAAATTACAGTTTATGAGCTCTAGGTGAAATCAGACTCATATCACTCTAGTTTATGCATCTGTCAAATACTTTCCCTTTTAGATGAGTGTTTTCTGGTTGAAAATCAAACTCAAGCTCTATTTACACTGAACAGTCATTTTTGTTACTGTGCTCAGTATAGGAGCAGTCTATCAAACCCTACTGCACACAGAAACACACACACACAAATATGCATACAGTAATTCAATCATATCACTGAGCGACTGCAGTAACAAAGAACTAACAGCCATGGTTCAAAAACTCGAGTCAGCCTCCCAAGAAACATTCCAAAACTTAATTAAATATGATGTCCTGTTTCCTCTGGTACATGAATAGCAAGAAAACACAATCATAAATAACAATTTAGACTTGGGTTGAATATATGAAAAACATTATTGTGTGTATAGTGGAAAACTACAAATCCCCAACAATATAGGGAAGTTATATGCTAATTCCACTGACTTTTCTCTTTTCCAGCTATACCCCTTAGTAGCAGAGTATGTGTTTTACAGCAAAGCTAGGACACATGTGCACAGCCCAAATGTTGTTGGGCTACATTTCCTGTCAGCCCTAGCCAGCAAGGGCAATGATGAAGGATATTAGGAATTGCAGTCCAACAACACCTGGGGGGCTGTGTGTTTCTCAGCCCAACTCCACATAAATAGAAACTCAGACTCAATCCAGGGAGAAATTATATTAAAAAAATGATATTGCTAAAACATCCATCATAAGGTTAGATGAAATGGTAATAGTAGGATAAATCAGTAAAACCATGGCAAAGGTTATTCAATAAAATAGCAATCATACCAACCTTCAATGGGCACTTGTATCCTCTGCAGCAGCCACAATCTGATTTCAGAATTGCTATCTAAATGAGATGTCAATGAAGAAGCTAGCGATCCTCCAAGCTCTTTCTTTTCAGCTCCTGCTGCTGAACCAATGTTTGAAAATAAGTCTTTCTTCTCAACAGAAGGTAAGTCAGGAACTGCCCTTTTGTCTGTAAGGTCTTTAATGGTAGGGGAATGTGAAGAGCTAAGTGTAAGATCTACGCCTCCTGGTGTATTATTTCTCTCTTCCTTAACTTCAGTCTTACCCAAGTCATCAGTAGTTTGTGGTTCACCTTTATCTTTATTGAGGTAAAATTCAATAAGCTTATCTTTATTCAGTTCCTTTTCTGCATCAAGTGTGGTCTCTATTTTATTTGTTGGTGAACTACCTCCCTTGTTCACTTCAGGCACTACATCAAGCTTTTCACAGGACTCTGAATCAAGGACATCTTTTGGGATGGCTTCCTTGGCCTCAGATGACTCCACTACTAATTGCTTAGAATTGTCTTCATTTGTTGCTTGTACCCTAACTTTCTCTTTTGTGTTACAGTCCTTGGAAACACCTACCATTCCTGAATCTCCATGCTTTACTCTGCCGTCAATCTGTGCTGAAGACTCTTCGAGATCTATAAAACCATCCTCATCCAGAAGAGAATTGTCTTTGGTTAAGTCTAGAGAAACTCTCTCTCCAGACTGTTCTGTAGCCACCCTTTTTGAAGACACAGCAATAATGGAGTCCTTTGGGGTTTCTCCTGACTGGGATGTCACCAAAGAAGAACTTTCAGAAGATTTAACAACTTCAAAATCCGTAGGTTTCTCCTTGCCTGGGGATTTTATCAGCTTGGAATTAAGAGTGACAAACCCATCCGCTTTCTGCTTCCTTTTCTCCTTGCTCAATGATTTAAATTTGCTGAAAGGGTTGATGTCCTTTTCAGAAGCGAGGTCTTCCCACTCCACAGGCCTGTACAAAGGACAAAGATCCTTTGGAATGTCGCTGTCAGGAAAGATGGTGGATGTACATGGAGTGTTAAAATGGAAAACAAAACAAAAGCAAATGATAATGCAACAGGTACTAAAACAAATAAAAGAACACATGGCTAAAAAAAGAAGAAGCAAGCAACTAAAATGCCCTAAAACAACCTTGAAATAATGTGAACTAAACCAAAGGCATCCTTCAAAATAAAATGCAAGTCAACAGAAATAAAGTAATTATGAAGTTGAAAGAACAGATATAACCAAGTGTTTGTATTTTGATGTGCATGTTGTGGAACGGAATAAATGGATGCGTTTTTAAGTATCCTGTAGGTATTCATATGGGTGAGGAAAAACAAATACAAAGGCTACTTTGTGTCTTAAATTGCTACAATAGGCACAACAAAATAAACATTTCCTATAATATTTATAATAGCTCATCAGTCACTAAGAACCAATAGATTCTTTTAGTTGCTTCAGAAGAATATTTATACTCAAACTCCAAGCTTTCAAAACCACAGCTTAATTCAAATCATGAGAAGGGCTCCGAACCCATAAAATCCAAAGTCTTAATATCTGCAAGGCTCTTGCCATTTGGGTTAAGTGAAATATTAAATCTTCAAGTTGCCCAAGGGTTTATAATATTCTAGAACTCATGAAAACATGTTTTTAACTAGAGCATTTTAGAGCATTTGCAATCTACCCAATCTTATTTATAGCAAACAGATCTCATTACACATTTTGTCTTCTGCCATAGAGAAATAATTAAATAACTTTATTCCATATAAATTAATAATATTGTGTCCGTAAAATTTAGTACATTTCTTGGCAAAATGTTCTTAAACAGATCACCATGCCTTTTGAATTACCTGTGCACTCATGAATGATGAAATGAATTATGTGACTACAGGCCATATTCCAAGGGTGAAATTCACACACTTTTCCAGATATTGTTGTTCAGCTGGTTCCTGGAAGCCCAAGGGCATTTTGGAGGTTCCAAAATGGGTTTTCCCCAGATACCCTTTAGAGGGTGCTAGAGGCAGCCTCTCCATATACTTATACTTTCTGTGGCTGACTTAGACACAGAAGAGACTTTTTCTCAACAGGTAGTGATACTGAAGTTATATTCTGGGTCAATACCTGTTGAATAAAAAGCTTCCCTTGGCCCTAAAATAGTCCAAGCAGGGTCAATAACATGGAGTAAGCCTTCCCATGCTTACTAGGAGGCACACAGGAAGGGGGACTTTTGAAAGCAAACATTTTTCAAAACTAAATTTCAGAGGATGCAACCCACCATGGTCACCTAGGTCTAGTGTCAACAGTTTCCCACCAGAGCCTACATAATTATGTATACCAATGTGATCTGGGACTCCCAACCCTACAATCTGTCCTTAATGGTGTGAGATACTGTCCTGGAAAACATATCTGAATGTGGACACCAGCCTAGTTAAATCCATACTTTGTGCCATTGCTAGATTCCTATTATTTTGTTCCTTTCTCTGTTTCCTTCAACCCTTTTTTATGTAATGTTCTTAATAGTAAGATTTAGGAACAATTTTCATACATTCTTTGCCTTTCACATGGTGAGGTGCTTGTGTAAAACACTCTTAGGCAGCATTCAAGTCAAATTTATATATATATATATGCACACACTTATTTTTGTATATGCGCACATATAGATAAATTGAATTTCCAGTTACTCTACTGTGTTTTACTTTACATAAATAGTGATGGTAAAAATCACTATGTGCAAACTTCATCACTGGAAAAAAAGTATTATTTGGGTTAAAGTAAGCATCATCATTCTAAAAGGTAATTTTCTGAAACTACAGTTTAACTTATTTTCATGCTCTTCTTCCTAACAGCTGGCTTGCTCCTTGAGGTCTTCTACGTCTTTTCTTTTTCAGTTGATCATCCTCCATTTCCCAAGAGTAAAAAAAACCCAACAAATAACACATCTTACGATGGCAGAGCATCTTTAATCTTCATGTGAGAGATATCATTGTAGAGTGCAATTGAAACAACCTCCTCCATTGGACAAAGGAGCCCATATTCTTCACAGCCATTCTCAATTACCAGCGGGTCTGATTTGTGTGGGTCAAACATAATGGTGTTGGGAGTTACTATCATGACCCCTCCTACCACACCCTGAAAATAAAAAAATAATAATTGGGCATTAAGCACAATTGAGCAGCACAACATAACCCCAGAACATCTTTTATTTTGTTTCACTTTCTGTGTATTTTATACCATCCTCCTCCTTCCAATGGAATCATGTTTTTCCCCAAAAAATTCAGTCGAAGCAGATAACATCCTAATAAAATGAAGCAAAGATAAAGGTTCTAACTGTTCAACATAGATCTATCTTTCACAGACAAGGTTAAAGCTATAAAAAGGGGTCAAAGGATTTAAATTTAATCCCTGGTGACAATGAAATGGGACCTATAGATTGTTAATTAACTAGGGTCAAAATGTTATTAAAATTCAGGAGTTGACCCAGACCATTTCCCAACTTTGGCTTCCCCCATAGCATTTTATGGAGCTGTCGTCTTATATTAGACTCAGTTCCTAATATGAAACTTAAATAGTTATAGAATAGAAAAGCAAATGACAATGCCTTCCATTTAAACAACTTAATCTCTCTAATCTCTTAGAGCTTAACTACATATTATATGCATACCCAATGAAAGAAAAAGAGACGAGCAAACACACATTTGGAACCTCAAGAAGCAGCTGGGACAGACAATACGTAAACAGAGATGAAATCTGCAGAGTGAAACACTGCCTCCTCCTCCTTGAAGCCTAGTTGTTCTGTGCCTTCAAGTTGTTTCTGACCTATGGCAACCCTATCACTGGGCTTTCTCAGCAAGATTTGTCCAGAACAGGTTTTTCACTGCCTTGCCCTGAGACTGAGTGAATGTGACCTGCCCAAGATCACCTAGTAGGTTTCATGGCTGAGCAGGAATTCAAACTCTGGTCTCCAGAGTCATTGTCCAAGGCTCAAACCACTAGACCATGCTGGCTCCATGAAGTCGCCTTGATCCCAATCAACTTCTCTTATAACAAGTTCGCTCTGGGCTCTGGACTACACAGTTATAGTATAATTGTTGCAACCACTATGGTTCTATCCAATTGAACCCTTGTATTTGCAGTGTAGGGAAGGGCACCAAGAACTCTCAGCAAGGCAGCTCTAATGTCTAAACAGATGACAAACAGTAGGACCCCACAGGATGCCACAGCATCAGGGAAAGTGAATCATAATACTATAACTGTATAGTGCAGAAAAGATCACTGGCAGAAGCACTGGTCACACAGGAATAAGGGGAAAATAAGTAGTTCTACCCTCAACTCAAAATACTAACTATGGATTCTTGCTACAGAATCCAAAGCAAGCAACCATAGTGTGTCTTGTGTATCCATGACACAAAACCGTTTCAATTGGCTGTTCTACCAAGGAACATCAATTTTCCAAATGAAACAAGCTTCTCCACAGAAGAACTTGAACTATGTTTACTATTGTGGCTTACTGTATGTAAGTTGATATATTAGATCTAACATCAAAACCCATTGGTAACACCTATAAGAACTCATTAAGAAGCATGGTGTAGTGATTTAAGCATTGGACGATGATTTTGGAGACCAGAGTTCAAATCCCCACTTGGTCATGGAAACCAGATGGGTGAACGTGGCTGAGTAACACACTCTCAGTCCCAATGATAAGGTCACCTTATAGATGCCATAAGTCAGAACTGATTTGTAGGCACACAGCAACAAACAACAAAACCTCTTGCCTTTCATGTATTTTAGCATCCCAACCAGAATGATCAAGTCAGAGACTACAGATGGTATAGTCAAAAACATCCCAAGCTCTGGATTAAATTAAAGCCATGAGATACAAAGACAAACAGAATCTTTCAGTTGTCAGTAAGTCTATTTTGCTCCATTGTGGACTACAAAATTGCAGGTGGGGATTTCAAGCAACTATGAAACATAGCTGCTGGTGTGCATTTAATATATATCAAAAACTGTATACACCTGAATTAAAGGTGTGAGATGTGAACTTTGACTAGCCCTTCTAAAATGTTTTTGTTTTCACACAATACCCTTCTATCTTATCTCAGAGGACACTTTTATCAATGTTCTAAAGATAAGAATATTATTTGTGTTTAATTAAGAAATTTACATTGTAGCCACGGAAATCTCTTGATTTGGTTACCATAGAACTCTTTTGAATGGGCTAAGACAATGATTAAGCTGCCTATGTTAACCTCATTAAAAATCTGATAATCTTTATCATATAAAAACAACCATTCCACACTGGCAGTTTCTGGCACTCTATGGTGCCATTTGTCTATAAATTTATTGAAGAAATCTGTTGTAAATTAAAAAAAATCAAAATCCTCTCTACCTTGCCATCTGTGAAGTAGCGACAATTCATTTTTAAAAACTTGACAACAACTGGCTCATCTTCCTCTGAAGTAGATGATAGCACTCTGTGAAGTGGTCTACAAGCCTTCCTTGCTAAGTCAGCATCCTTTAAAAACAAAAGCAACTTTTTAGTAGTAATAGTAGTTTATTAATGCATGGACCACTGATCATTTGCATATGAAAGAAATAACTACAACACAAAAATAATACATTAAATGAATGGCATATAAATATTGCATATTTTTTTAAAAATCAATACCATTAGAACACATTAAGTATAAACAACAATTAGGTTATGTAAGAACATCCCTAAAGAAATCAACTACAATATCAGCAATAAATCTTGCCCAATTTTTTATTGCTGCCAAAGCAAAAAAGAAATCTTGCAAGTTACTACAGAGTCAGCATCAGAGAAGAGATAGAAATCTTTCCTTAAACATCATAGAAACGCATATAACACAGAATAGATCCCAAGAATTTGTTTTTTGGTTCAGACTGTAATGAGCAAGAGAGACAATAATGGGGCAAATCCTCAGTTTCTGGGGCCCACAAATACATAAACAAAGAGCCAAAGAAGCATGAGAATATCTGCCATCGATCCTAGCTGTAGGCAAAGTTTGAAGATGCAGAGCTATAAAAGCTTGCATACATTTAGGGAATGTGAGTTCTGTCAGGCATAAAGCCATTTGAGAAATCAGTGATTCACAATCCAATTTACTATTTTTCTGAGTGCAAAAGGTTCATATGATTTCTTTAAAAACCTTTCTTCAATCTGTACAGCTGTCTCTCTATATCAGTGGTTCCCAACCTTTGGTCCTCCAAGTGTTTTGGACTTATAATAATAATAAACTTTATTTATACCCCACCATTATCTCCCCAATGGGGACTCGGGGAAGCTAACATGAGGCTGAGCCCAAAAATAATACAACAAAATAATATACAAGACAATAGAAAATAAACACAACAAATACATAATACAACAAAATAAAATAAACAATGCAAAATAACATAATAAAATCAGTCAGGGCGGGCCAAATGTGCAAGATAAAACCCTGGATGAGATAGGAAGTAGAAAAAGCGTATTTGTAAAGGAGGAGCCCAAGACTTCAGCTCCCACAATTCCTAACAACTAGTAAACTGGCTGGGATTTCTGGGAATTGAAGTCCAAAACAAATGGAGGGCCAAAGGTTAAGCAAGCCTGTTCTATATTCATGGACTCTCTGCAAAAAGACATAAACGCCTTTCAGAACTCATCATCCTTTCAATTAGGAGTTCTGTGTAACTTGAAAGTGTATGAACCACTTCAGAGATTACGATCATCTGGGGAGGACTACTCTCTGTCCCACCTTCTTTGCAGGCACAACTGGTGGGGATGAGAGACAGGGCCTTCTCAGTGGTGGCCCCTCGGCTGTGGAACTCCCTTCCTAGTGACATTAGATCAGCGCCCTCCCTCCTGGCCTTAAGAAGGAGAGTAAAAACCTGGGTCTCGGATCAGGCTTTTGGAGAATAGTGCAGTGCAATAATATAATTGGAATATGTACAAATACTATGGAATGGCCTTAGACTACAATTTCTGGATGGCGTGATTAAAATATTGAATGTAATTTTAAAATGTTTAATATGTATTGATTTTAATTCAATTGATTTTAAGCTTAATGTTTGTATATGTTTAAAGTACTAAATAATTTCCATATGTAAGCCGCCTTGAGTTCCTCTTGGGGTAGAAAAAGGCGGGGTAGAAATAGGGTAAATACATACATACATACATACATACATACAGTTACTGGAATGCTGACATGTATCTAGTGTGCAATACATCTAGCAAAACTGAGTGATTTTTACACTTAAACCAAATGCGGTCTGTGCATTATTTATTTTTCTTTAATGTCTTAGAATGAACACTGTCTGTATAATGTTTTCCCAGAAAAACAACTAAGGATCTTGTGGCAGCTGAAAGATTTACAAAGTTATTATGTCACATAACAAATCTGTTCATCTTGAAAGCATTATAAGATGGTTTATTATTCCCAGAACAACATACTTCTGTCTAACACAGCTGGTCCACAGAGACTCTTACCGGAAGTTTATCATACTCCGCATCTGATGATGAAGGTGAAACAGTGGCACCAGGACTTGAGGAAGCTAGTTTCGCAGCTGTAGAAATTGGTTCAGTATCCGGCACATACAGAACCTGGATGAATAAAATCCAGATGAAAACAGAACAATAATGAAGATTATGGCAATGAGGTCAACCAACCTGTCATTTCAGGATGTTGACCCTTTTTCACTTCTAGACATGTAATCCATTTCTGAAGGTTTTAGGACTTCCTTACTGCTTAAAAAACTGCACAGTTTTTGCAACTGTGAGCTCATCTGGATTCAGAATCCAGATTATATGGAAGTGTAGATGGGGTCTCAGGCTCAAAGAAGATAATGAAAAACTCTTCAAACATTTTTTTTTTTTTGCTAAGAATCCCTATACAATAGGTTACCATATGCTGGAAGCTATGTGAGTGCACACAACATGAGATGCTCCTCACACCTGTGATTAAAATTCTATACATTGATTTGATGCACTTAAAACAACTGAATGTTTTAAGTTATACTAAGAGTTTTTGAAACTGAAGGTCACCAGTAAAAATACCTCTATGAATACTAGTAAAAATGTGGTTCCTTGCCTATGATGTTATCCCATTTTAGCCTTATGCTAATGACTTGTTGAGCTAGGAAGAGTTCCAATATCAGCAACTCACTAGCTAGCCTTCCCTATAATATCTGTGGGTCTTGACTCAGTTAAAGAAGCACTCTGTTGACACTGTGCTTATTCAAAAAGACTGTGTTATGCCTAATGCAGACTCTCCATTCAACCAGTAGCATAGTATCTTATTAATCACATCCTTATTCAGGAGCTATAGAAAAGATAGATGAAATAATTCTATAGAAACTTGTTGTACAGACACCTAGTTTTGGGTCTCCAATATCTAGTAAGTAATCCCAGCATAGCTTCTAGAACACAGGATGACTTCACAAGACAGATGTAGAATGCAAAGATGACAAACCACTATGCAATATCCCATACAGGTGAAGAGCAGTATAATGATGGGGTGCTTCCTGATGGATGACTACTAGTGTTCACAGTAAAAAGACATTATACAACTATTCTTCCCCACCCAACCCTCACAATCAGATAAAGGAACAATGAAAGAGAGAGAGGGCAAGAGGTGGTAAAAGACGTTACTAGTATAAGATGACCTAAGTTCCCTGTAAACCACTTCCTATGAACACAACAATGTAAGTGTACAACAGAAGCCTCATCATTATTCAACAACAATATCATTCAACAATATCCACATCATTTATTCCTTCCCTTGTTGCTGTTTTCTGTGATTTTTAACACACTGTGACCAGTAGGACCGTATACGATATGGCTAGGCGTGTGCATGCTTTATAGTTCCTTTTAAAATTACATAACCAATTCAGGTTATTATTCAGGTATTGACATATCTGAAGAAATATAGCCTTGACACAAAGAAGGATCTGACCTTATCATCACACAAAATACACTGAAACAAACGAAACAGCATATCTGATGATGAAGGTGAAACAGATGTTTTGAAGGCAAAAACATCTGGGGACCCACAGGTTGAGAACCATTTCCCCAAACACAATATACATAAACCAACTTCAAACCATTGGTTTAAAGATAGCTTGGTAGTCTGATTTGTTGGCTTTGTATCCATTGGAAACTATGGTCATCTAAGACTTCCTGGATAGCTTACTTGGAAGGCAAGAGAGCTGCTTGCACAAGGCATGGTTTTCTAGCTAGGGTTTAGACTTAGTATGAACATGGCTAGTAGAAAGAATGCTGAGTGAAGTGGGCCAATGCTTTGACTGAGGATAAAGCAGCTTCCCATGTCTATCAAAAAAAATCACTGACCATTTACACAGTGGGATATATCATTTTGGATGCATAACTCCCATCACTGTGGTTATTTCAAAACTGATTTCTAAATAGTATTTCTCAGCAAATCAAATATTTGTAGACTCTATCATACAATTACCTGGCCTGGGACAATTGTATGTGTGAAAAGCTTATTGAGTTCCACAAGTTTATTTGGAGTGATGTTAAACTTCAAGGCTATGCTATTCAGCGTATCCTGGCTTCCAGCCTGAGAGAGGAAACAAAAAAAAGTCATTAACATGTCTTTTGATTAATCATATTTTTAAAAAAGATCACCAAATGGAAACTCTAGATTAAGAATACTTCTTCACTGATTTTCTTTAGTTAGGATGGGAAAACAAGATAGTGCTAGAAGTCTAACCTAGATATTATGACATAAGCTTTTATGGAATCATCTGATTAAAATGAACTCCATTCCATGGATGCTTATGCTATAATAAATGAACTAACATTGATGGTACTATAGTATTATTTTGCTGTAATATATGGCTACTCCTTTAGAAAAATATTTTTGAAAAATATACACTGAGTATGCAACTTGTTTCATATAATGGATTAAATAGTTCACTCAAAAATAACAGTTGATCTAATTTTCATTGAATCCCAACAAGCCCAAATTTACTTGCATAGTTTTGGTCCAGGCTACTTGAGAGACCGTGCCTTATCATATAGAAAGGGCAGACACTTAAGGTTGAGTAGTGAGACGCTAATCTCCACCCAGATTAGGGACAGTTTTCACTTAAAACTGTACGAAGATTATACTTTCTTGGGCACGGCACCAAAGCTATGGAATAAACTGACATAAGTGATTAGAGCAGCCCCCACCTTCATAGAATCATAGAATCAAAGAGTTGGAAGAGACCTCATGGGCCATCCAGACCAACCCCCTGACGAGAAGCAGGAAAATTGCATTCAAAGCACTCCTGACAGATGGCCATCCAGCCTCTGTTTAAAAGCTTCCAAAGAAGGAGCCTCCACCACACTCCGGGGCAGAGAGTTCCACTGCTGAACGGCTCTCACAGTCAGGAAGTTCTTCCTAATGTTCAGATGGAATCTCCTCTCTTGTAGTTTGAAGCCATTGTTCTGCGTCCTAGTCTCCAGGGAAGCAGAAAACAAGCTTACTCCCTCCTCCCTGTGGCTTCCTCTCACATATTTACACATGGCTATCACATCTCCTCTCAGTTTTCTCTTCTTCAGACTAAACATACCCAGCTCCTTAAGCCACTCCTCATAGGGCTTGTTCTCCAGACCCTTGATCATTTTAGTCGCCCTCCTCTGGACACGTCCCAGCTTGTCAATATCTCTCTTGCATTGTGGTGCCCAGAATTGGACACAATATTCCAGGTGTGGTCTAACTAAAGCGGAATAGAGGGGTAGCATTATTTTAGGAAAATCTGAAGACTTTCCTGTTTGGAATAGCTTTTAATTGATCTGTAACAGAAGCCCAGAATTTATAGCACTTTACAATTATATTTTCTCTCCATCTGGGAAGTTTTAGAGTGTTTCTACTTATCTTAATGGTAATTTTAACATCCTACAAGGAAGGACTATGTAACCTATTTGGGTTAATTGTAAGGGTCTATTTTATATTGTATGTTCTATGCTATGAGTCTGTTGAAGAAAAGCAATGTAGACATTTCCTAAAGAAAATAATAAATAAAAGTAATATTCTAGTGCTTAAATCAAACATGTAGGAAAAACCAAGACTGATCAGGGGATCTGGAGCATAAAAGTATCTTATCTTTACTATACAATACACACAAAGATTAGAGGAAAATACTCCTAGACTAATAAGAATCCAGTGGTAGGAACCTAAGTAAAAGCAAATACTAATATATAGAAAATCATTACTGACCTACTTAAGTTTCTGTTTCTATCAACAAGGCAACCATTTATTAGTTTTACAAGATAAGACCATATTGTATACAGAGCAAACATGTTTTCTACACTTTGGATATAATCCACTGGGACCCATTACAAGTGTACTGGAGCCTAAACAAATACAATAAATTGCATGATTATGTCTCTTTCCCTCTCTTTGCAGATTTCTTGATTTTAAAGGTCTTTGATGACCAAAACTGGTGGTTTTGGTGGATAACTAAATGAAAACAGCAAGTATTTTGTTTAAATATTAATGTCTGGTTGTCAGCTCAAAAGACTTTTAGAGTTGCATACAAATCAATTAAAAATGACAAGACAAATCTCTGCCTTCTGGCTTACAATCTAAAAAGACATTGACTTAAATAGAATAAGGAGATGACGAAAGAAAGGAGAACAAGTCTGACATTGTTGTATTCTTCTATTCAGTTCCACATGCATCAGTGGTGAAAAATATAGATTTGATGCAGGAAATCAAAAGAATTAAGCAAACACTGCACATCTATGTATAGGAGTGATGATGATAATGATAATGAAAATTATGATAATAATTTTATTTCTTATCTGCCTCTCTTTGTGGCTCGAGGTAGGTTACAACACTATTAAAAAATCATGACCATTGCAAAAATTCAACAAATATACATACTCCAATAAAAGATCCACATAAAAAGAGTATTTCTATAACATACATATGAAAATACACAAAGCAGAAATCAAATAAAGGACATGAATTTAAGATTCATAGTTAAAAACTGTCTGGGTAGGCCTGCTGGAAGAGATGTGTCTTTAGATCTAGCTGTTGGAGCTCTATTGGCAGGTCATTCCAGAGTCTTGGGGATGCCAATGAAAAGGTTCTATGGGTGACGGTTGTCAGTCAGGTTCTGCGAGGCTGGAGCAGACGCCCCCCAGAGGAGATAAGTGTCCTGGGTGGATTGTATGGGAAAAGGCAATTCTGTAGGTAACTTGGACCCAAACCATGAGGGGCTTTAAAATTCAAAACGAACACCTTGTACTTTGCCTGGAAACTAATTGGCAGCCAGTGGAATGACATTACGATAGGTGTAATATGCTCTCTCTTAGATGTTCCGGTAACCAATCTGGCTGCCGCATTTTGAACCAACTGGAGTTTCTGAACTTGATACAAAGGTAGCCCAATGTAAAGTGCATTGCAAAAGTCCAACCTTGAGGTTACCAGAACATGCACTATCATCTTTAAGTCTTCCAAATCTAGGAAGGGGCACAATTGCCGTATCAGCCAAAGTTGGTAGTAAACACTCCTGACTGTTGCATCTACCTGGGCTGATATTTGGAAAACTGGATCCAGGAGCACTCCCAAGCTGCGAACACAGTCCTTCAGGGGGAGTATTACCCTATCCAGAACTGGTTTACATACCTCTATCCCCAGATTAGGACCCTTGATGGCAAGCATCTGGATTCAATTTCAATTTGTTTTTCCTCATCCAGCCCATTACCTCCTCCAGGCATTCAGTCAAAGGAGACATGCTATCCTTACCTGTGGCTGTTTTTTGCAGGAATAGAGAAATATATTTGGGTGTCATCAGCATACTAATAACACCCCACCCTATGCCTACAGATGATAGGATGAGGAGCCCCACCAATTCTCGGTAGCCTTTCCTTCGCACATTTGGTATGAACAAAGAAGGTACCACTATATATAGAGAGTCAGCCTCCATATGAGGAAAAGTTCCACTTGGGCGATCATCTAGCAGAGGGTTTGGTATTATTCACATGCAAGGAATATACAGACAGCACTGTTAGAATGAGGACAAATGGATACTCAACCAAAAAAAAATGAAATAGACAAAGAAGTTTGAGCAGAAACAAAATAATAATAATAATAATAATAATAATAATAATAATAATAATAATTCGAAAATGCATCACACAGTCCTAGACGCTTGGGAAGTGTTCGACTTGTGATTTTGCGATATGAAATCCAGCATATAGATCTCATTTGCTGTGACATACTGTGTTTTTGTGTCAGATAATAATAATAATAATAACAACAACAACAACAACTTTATTTTATCCTGCCACCATCTTCCAAAAGAGACTCAGAGCAGCTTACCAAAATATGTATTAGTGCTGTAAACATGCAAGTACTATAAAATACATAGGCATTTATAAAACAACAGTGTCAATAACATAAAACAAATATACATAAAAGCAGTATATAAAACCCTTCCTTCCCATTTTTGTTAAATCAAAACATTCCACTGCTTCTTCAGAAAGTTTACTAAATTCAATACAGTCTATTTCTAATTAAAAGTTTCAGCTACACAAGTAACATTTCTACTACAACACAGTTTCTTCCTTCCTCCCACCCTTGAAATGAGCAGTACCTTAACTTCATAATGCAGCTCAAGATGTAGGCAAGGGCTGCTGTCAAGAAGTGTAGGAAAAAGAAGAAGAGAAGGCAAAGGCACTGAGCTCAGTATGTGACTGTGCAGATACAACCAAAGATTCAACCAGGTTTAAACCCACTGCTAACAGTAAGTCCAGTGTCTTTCTCCAATATCTTCCAATAAATTTAATTATATTCCACTCAGCTTCCAAATAAGAGAATGATAGTTAGCCCAAGGCAGAGTTTTTAATGTAATTTTTCCTCCTTGCATGTGAATGTATCCACCAGGATGGATGCATGTACAGAACATCTATGGGGTGTGAGAATCATGGGTTTGTTCCCATGAGGAAAGAATTTTATTTTTGAATGCTTCCATTCATGTGACCTGTATTGTACAGGAAAATTCATATATCAGCAATCCATTGATGGCTCCAAAGATCAGGCTAGATGATAACAAAAAATGCTTGGTCAGAATCAAGGGACAGCATTGCATATCACTACACAAGCACATTACAGTTGTCCTCTACATTTGCGGATTTGATGAAGAGGTTATCCCTAGGAATCTTTATGTTCTCCAGTGTGACTCAGAGGTTGACCATGTAGATGCCTAGTGAGGTGTTCTTTCAGGAAAACCTTCTGGTAAAGGTTGACTATACAGTTGCAACAGAGGGCTTAGAGATTTCTAGAGAGACCCATTAATCAAATCTGCAAATAATCAAACTCGCAAAAGTTAAACCTTCAAATGTGGAGGCCAACTCATTCAGTACTGACTGAAATGCAGTCTGCACATACTCAGGCACATTTTGTGTCACATTTTCCCAAAATGCAACACAACTGTTCCTTTCAGAAGTAAAAGTTATTACAGTAGAGTCTCGCTTATCCAACATAAATGGGCCGGCACAACATTGGATAAGCGAAAAAGTTGGATAATAAGGAGGGATTAAGGAAAAGTCTATTAAACGTCAAATTACATTATGATTTTACAAATTAAGCACCAAAACATCATGTATTGGATCCAGGCAGGAGGCAGACTGGATTGGATAATACAGAATGTTGGATGAGCGAAGGTTGGATAAGCGAGATTCTACTGTAGTTGCTGGTCTATTATTTATAAGATATCAGTACATCTACCTGTGGCAAGTCCTTGGTGGTATGGGCATACCAAATCACCTTGTCTCTCTCCTGAGGAATCCGTATAAGGACCAAGTAGCAACAGTAAGAACTGACCATGGAACAACAGACTGGTTCAAGATTGGGAAAGGCGTACGGCAGGGTTGTATACTCTCACCCAACCTAGACAACTTTTATGCAGAACACATCATGCGATGTGCAGGGCTTGAATGCAAGGCTGGTTGAAAATTGCTGGAAGAAACATTAACAACCTTAGATATGCAGATGACACCACTTTGATGGCCGAAAGCGAGGAGGAGCTGAGGAGCCTTCTAATCAAGGTGAAAGAAGAAAGAGCAAAAGCTGGGTTGCAGATAAACATTAAAAAAAAAACCAAGATTATGGCAACAAGAATGATTGACAACTGGGAAATAGAGGGAGAAAACGTGGAGGCAGTGACAGACTTTGTATTTCTAGGTGCAAAGATTATTGCAGACGCAGACTGCAGCCAGGAAATTAGGAGACACTTACTTCTTGGGAGGAGAGCGATGTCCAATCTTGATAAAATAGTGAAGAGACATCACACTGGCAACGAATATCCGCATAGTTAAAGCAATGGTATTCCCCATAGTCACCTACGGATTTGAGAGCTGGATCATAGGGAAGGTTGAGTGAAAGAAGATAGATGCTTTTGAACTGTGGTGCTGGAGGAAAGTTCTGAGAGTGCCTTGGACTGTGAGAAGATCCAACCAGTCCATACTTCAGGAAATAAAGCCCGACTGCTCATTGGAGGGAAGGATATTAGAGACAAAGTTGAAGTATTTTGGCCACATCATGAGGAGACAGGAAAGCTTAGAGAAGACAATTATGCTGGGGAAAATGGAAGGAAAAAGGAAGAGAGGCTGACCAAGGGCAAGATGGATGGATGGCATCCTTGAAGTGACTGGCTTGACTCTGAAGGAGCTGGGGGAGGTGACAGCTGACAGGGAGCTCTGGTGTGGGCTGGTCCATGAGGTCACGAAGAGTTGGAAATGACTGAATGAAAGAACAACAACAACCTAGAGCTCACTCATATCTGTCAATCCTGAATAGAGCACATGCTACTGATTGCTATTTTTCCTCTATAAAATATAAAAATCCTTTATTAATGGCCACTTATTTTGAAGAGATATGCTTCAGAATCAACGCATATTTTGTTTTCAAGGGCCAAGTATATAGCATGTGTCACGCATGTGCCACAGAAAAGAACGAGGAACTGGTGCCACCAGTTGCAAAATGTAAACAAAGTAGAAAGATAAGCTTTTATCCCTCTGATATCAAACTAGAAAGAAGAATGGGGAATTCAGGAGAGAGAAATGATATACTTCTTCATACAGTACATAAACTGTAGAAAAATCACTGCTGCAATATGGCAGCTCAGCTGGGTTTAAAATGTATGAAGTGTAAGATTTTCAGCATAAGAATCTCAGTCAAGACATCTACCTATCACTCCCAGTAATAAATACAGTTCACACAATTATTTTCCATATATTTGCAAAATGTAAGGTTCTGAAGCCTACATATTGGAAAAGAAAAGCAAAAGAAGTTGTGACTGGTGTTTCCATAGAGTTACCAACTTGTAAAGAAGCCAGTTCTGACCATTCAGCCACTCAACTCAAAATACTAACATACAGTATAGTCAAGGAAATACAGGAGACGATAGCTTAGTGAGTCTTTTGAAACAGAAATCCCAAAAGGTGAACTTAACAGATACAATAATCTTTAATCATGCTAAATCACACATGATGCAGTCATCTAATGGCAGGGAGCCAGAACATTGGCCTTCTACAAAAGGCCAATAAAATACCATTTTCCAATTGAAATGATGGGAGACCTTGAAAGAAACAAACTACTGTATTAAAGTCTTTTTGATTTGATTGAAGATAAAAGGTCAGAAAACTCATTGCTAACTGGCTGATCACAGAAGAGTCCCTCCTGGTAGGTAAACGTGTAGATAAGGAAGAGCTAGAGATAAGATCAAAGCAAATTCAAAAGAGAGAGAAGTAAGCAATCTGTGATTGACTGCTTCCATTGCTGCACTTGATATCTGTTTCTAACAGCCACCCACTAAGCTGTTCCTAAGATAAGTCCAATAGCTGATGGTGCTGGTTATTAGATACTGCACTTTGTTGCATTATCTTCTATGAAAAGGAGATAATAGTCACATTTGTTTTGAGATGTCTGTGGAAGAATATGGTTTTGTTGCAAATGCCAGTTAAAGATACAAGAAATTACATAAAGAATTCCTCAACAGATGATTATGTTATTGTGCTGTGTAAGATAGGTTACAGTTGGCCTTCCGTATCCACAGATGCTGCCTCTTATTGATGTTTTTAAAGATGAATATGATGCTCCAATTTGTTATAAGAAGTTTGAGTCCTTTCATGAAATTAAAATCTATAAATTATGTCCACAAAATTAAAAATCAATGTCCCTCCACGCAGAAGGGAAAATGTGTATTACTGATTTGTTTATTTTGATAAAATAGCCTACAATAACCACAATAACTGCCTATTCTCCCTTATTAAATATCTTGAAATTTAAATATATAAGATGACATATAGGAGAGCTGATATTATTCTGCATATCTGGATAATGCTGGTGCTCATGAGCTGGAAATCCAAGTAATCCAAATTGACTAGGGTTAATCCTAGATAGATATACTTTAACAGACACATGGCAAAGAGCTCTCAATTCTTTAGATCAGGAACTATGTTCCTTCAGGTATTTTGGACTTCAGCTCCCAGAAATCCCAGCTGAAGTCTAAAACATCTAGGACAGCGACACTAGAGGCACTCCAAGTGGCTAGCTTCCGGCCAAAGGAAATTTAGCATAATGCCAAGTTTTTAAACTTTGTGTTTTTTATACATTACAAACGTATTCCCAATTCGCTTCTGACAGGATAAATAAATAACCTATTAATTTACAATATACTATATAATAATATACAATAATAATGAAGTAATACTAATATATTAAATATAATTACTACTGATAATATATAATAATATATAATTATATACTGTTTTATTATTTTATATTTGTATATTTTACATTGTAATGTTTTTGGTTGTGGGTAACTTTGAGTCTCTGTATGGAGTGATAAAGCAGGAAATAAACCAACAAACACATTACAATGGGGCCAGCTCTGAACAGATTAAATCCTTGTGAACATTTTGGGCTTCACAAACATGTCAATACAATCATCTCATTAAAACCGTTTTATCATTGGTCTCCAAATTACTGAAAGAATGCTGAACTTAACTCCTACATTCTGCTCATGAAGAAAGACCATAGCCATCACATGCCAAGCTAATTACTAGCCCAGACTTGCTCCCTGCATGCCAGGAATGGCTTCCAGAAGAAAGTTTGTAGCTTGCAAACTCCCAAAAAGAAAGTGAAACAAGCTACAGCTATATCTTCTAATGCAGCCTTGTCAGATTATTATAATCTCTTTAAAATTATACATATTTGGAAGAAACCATACTCTACTATCTCTTGCTCCATTCAAAACATACAATGCAATCATAGAACTATCAATTCGGAAGTAAGTCCTACTGAGTATTCAGAAGTGTGTGTTTCCCTAAATTGTGTTTGCAAACCTAACAACAGGTATAGCCTTCTTTGTAGACCATGAATTTTGATGCACAAGCAAAATTGAAACATATTATTACTGCTGTTTTTAATTCTTGTAGTTCTTTAGCATCTTGGGCTTTAAAAACATGTTTTTGACTGTATGAAGAGTGCAAAGTTTTGATTCTTCAAGTTGGAGAGAAATTATGACTACAAATTGTGTTCTATACACATAATAAATTTTGCTTTGTATTTCCTGTTCTTACTATTCATATGCTGAAAAAAATGTTCAACAACAAAACTTGACTATGTATGTATATCAGGTATGGGCAAACTTCAGCCCTCCAGGTATTTTGGACTTCAACTCCCAGAAATCCCAGCCAGTTTACTGGTTATTAGAAATTGTGGGAGTTGAAGTCCAAAACAACTGGAGGGCAGGAGTTTGCCCATACCTGATGTAGACTTACAACAGGCAGTATATAAGCAGGCTTTTTTTCTGCTGCCTGGAAACTAGGGACTCAGAGCAATGGGTTCAAATTACAGGATGGGAGATTCCACCTGAAGATTAGGAAGAACTTCCTGACCATAAGATCTGTTCAACAGTGGAACTCTTTGCCTCAGAATGTGGTGGAGGCTCCTCCTTTGGAGGCTTCTAAACAGAGGCTGGATGATCGTCTGTTGCGGGCTTTTCCTGCACGTCAGGGTGCTGTACTTGATGACTCATGTGGTCTCTTCCAACTCTATGATTCTATGATTTTCTGATTCTATGATCAGCTTTCACCATAATAACATTATAACACTTAAGGCTGGAAGTTTGAGACAGTTATCAAAGCAATCGGTTTTCCTACTCTTTCTAAATGGGCTGTTGAGCTGTATAGATATTCCCAAACAGGAATATGCTGGCAGAATATCAACAGAAAATCAACAGTACATGATCTGGGTCTTTGTTGGTAATCTAAACTGATGGGAGGTAACGCAAAATAAATAAATATGATTTTGACTAAATTAAATAAATGGAGGAGAGCAGTGAGAACTGGCATACTTGCAAACCCTGTTCCACAAATGTCCATGTAACACATTCTTACCGTATACTCGATTGTACCATGTGGTCTCTGAGAAACCATTTTCTTTTCTTTTTTTTCATTGGTTTTGGTTTGATTGTCATCTGAAGGAGAAACCAGAGAATCAATTACTGGCAGTGAACAACAATCAGATCGCTCTGTCAACATAGGCAAATGTTGTTGATTAGTTGGCATCAAGTAGAACACAGCCCATCCATAAAAGCTCAACTTGAAACTGAACATGAACTCACACAGAAAAGCTGTTCTTGCATGTAGGGTTTCCCCAGTTGCCTTTGGGGAGATATTTCTCCCATCATCAATCATTCCCATCTTTGCCCTTTCCATCTCTGTTCAGATGACAAATTCACATATATCTTTAGCATCACATCTTGGAATGAAAACATACAACCAAAACAAATAGCAAAAGCAGTGGTTTTGTAGCAATCCAAGCTTTAGGAGTTATTAGAGTTATCTATGATGTGGCTATCTATTATTTATTATTTATTTGCTTTATTTCTATACCGCATTTTTCAGCCCAAACAGGCGACTCAATGCAGGCGCATTTTTTAGCTCAAACAGGCGACTCTAGATACAAGTGGTATTCAACAGTTGCAGGTTTTACCTTGAGTGACCAGTCTACAGATGGAAAATGAACAAGCCACATTTTCTCATTATGTCCAGAAATTATTTCTGCTTAATTTGAATGGTTGAATATTCTCTCAACAAAAAGCATAATCTTGTCTATTTTGCATGTTTTGCTCTTCCTTTTCTCCCCAGTCACAATGGCAATGCGTGGACTTTCAGACCCCTGTTCATTCATGATTCCCGCCAAAGAGCGGCTTTAGGAAACATATGGTTTGGTGTTCCCATTTTCCTCAGAACAATAGAATAGGGATTTGGGAGGAGAAAACAAGGGTATTTAAAAGACCTCTGTATGAAGGCATGAGAACTTTAGAAGAAGGACAAAATGTAAACATAATAAACATAAACCTTGTTTGTGCACAGTCCTTAATCAAATTAACTACTGCATGATAGTGAGTGCAGGGCTGTATCTATAAGACCACGTTTAATTGATGGGGAAAGTCTCTAGGAACACTGTAGCCTCTGTTAAGTGGGATTATGGATGTTGTAGTAACACATCTTTGGGAGAGACCCAGCCTATGCTAAAGGAGGACACAACAGAGGCACATTTTCTTAATTTGTTTTTTGGCTTCTCTACACTGATAAAAACTATTCTGTTTGGCACCACATTTTCCCAGTCCACATTGGCCTTACAGTGATACCATTAATTGTACACAAACTGTAATGAGATTGTCATAGCCAGCCATACATTTGCCTCTGATGAACTCACCTTGCTGTTAGGGGAAGTCCACATTTACAATCCTTTGCATAAATTTTGGCCACAGGGGGGTGGCCTAGCTTTGTTTTTTACCATCATGCATTTGAATATACATATTTTCTGTAAAGTGGTGGTATGCATAGACTGTTATGCAAATATCTGCCCCTTCTTATAGAATAAAAATTAACATTCCTGGCAGGTATGATTACCTTCCACCAACCAGTTCTGTCCACCACTAATTTCCCACAACCTCCCAACTCCTCAGGAAGCGACTTGGAGAACTAGCGATACACCAAAAAATCTAGATTTCCTGTAAAATTGTAGGGCAAGGTTTTTTTTAAAACCTGATTAATGGCAAAGAACCACACTACAAACAAATCATCAAGAACATCTTGTGTCAAGATCTCAACATCTATGAGTTTATTATGATTTTTTCAGTCTTACTTTTGTTTAAGGAAGAAGGAATAACTAAGAAAAATGGAAGCAGAAAACCAGATCGATGGCAAAAAGTTGTTACATTGGTGCAGTTTAAAGCTAGTTTGAAACGTGCTGTAGGTCACACAAAGTTAGTCTTGTGTTGTGCAAATGTTAAATATACTCCCTCTTTTTTTAACCTAAGGTGTACACAATGTGCTTAAGGTCACAGATACATCTGACATCACGATATGAACAATCTTCTTAGTATTTGCAAGATCAACAAGAATTATGTGTACCATTCTCTGCTAACATCAGTGTTGTCTCTTCGCAATTTCCTGTCATCCTGTATTTTTATGGCCTGCCTGAAGTTATGAGCTTCAGAGAAATTCAGCACAGGACCTTGTAAGGGTAACCGTAAATTTCAAGTCAAAGGGGCATTCCTTTACGTGTTCTATATGTTTTATTAGTTTTCAGTGCACAGTATGTTCAGCAATATTGCAACCTAAACCTGTAGACTATTTCCACACTTGACCTCCATTTCAAATGCATATGAAATACCTCTAGGAATACTGTGTGAATGCTATCTGACTGTGCAAACACACACTTTGAAAACTCCAACAAACATATGGTTACCCTACAAACTTCATAAAGTTTTCTTTGCTAAGGAATACTCAAGATTTGGTTTGGCCAGTGCCTTTGTCTGAAATATAGCCTACAGTATCTTGGTATTTGTTGCTAATTTCTCATTCATTTGTTAACAAAAGCTTTCCCTGCTTAGCTTTCAAAGGTCAGTTGGGATCTAATGCCTTTGATATAAGGACAAAACAGGGAGCGAAGTAAGTCACAGCCACAGGACCTATGATTTATTCTGACTGGCAGGTGCTTTCTGGTCATAGACACGAATCTCAGTGATGTTAGCTAGAGATGGCAAGAACTGAACCAGTAATCTTCCATAAGCAAAGTGTAGGATGCCTCACTACCTCTGAGGATGCTTGCCATAGATGCAGGTGAAACGTCAGGAGAAAATGCCTCTAGAACATGGCCATATAGTCCGGAAACCTACAACAACCCAGTAATTCCGGCCATGAAAGCCTTTGACAATACAAAGTGTAGTATACAGGGTTAGTCAAAATGAATAGGCCAATAAGAAAATTAATTTTAGACGAATGTATGTTTACTGTAACCAAACCACAGCTACGTAGCGACAGATAAACTATCAAAGTTTTTTTTGAGCAACACACATGTACGTTAATGCCGCTAGGCGTCGCTAGGGGACGCTGTTTTCAAAATGGCGGAATCAAGCAAAGAGAAGGCGTTTTGTGTGATGACATTTGCTAAAACAATGTCAGTAATTAGGTCCAGCGAGAATTTCAAGGGTTAGGGTTAGGGTTAGGGTTAGGGTTAGGGATAGGGTCAGGGTTAGGGATAGGGTTAGGGTAGGGTAGGGTTAGGGTTAGGGATAGGGTTAGGTAGGGTTAGGGTAGGGTTAGGGTTAGGGTTAGGAGGGACGGTTAGGTTAGGGTTAGGTTAGGGTTAGGGATAGGGTTAGGGTTACGGTTAGGGTTAGGGTTAGGGTTAGGGATAGGGTTAGGGTTAGGGATAGGGTTAGGGTTAGGGTTAGGGTCTCAACGAACACCTTCCCAGATGTTGCTGCATTCGATGCCATTACGTCGGATGTGCTGCAACGGATGTGGAATGAACTGGACTATCGCTTGGACATCTGCCGTGTCACACGGGGCGCCCATATCGAACATCTCTGAAGGTGAGACAAAACTTTGATAGTTTATCTGTCGCTACGTAGCTGTGGTTTGGTTACAATAAACATACATTCGTCTAAAATTAATTTTCTTATTGGCCTATTCATTTTGACTAACCCTGTATTTAACAGAAAGCTATAGCCTCCCCCTTCTGAATAAGCTATATGTATCACATATAAACCTGATCAATATCCTATTAGCAATCCAAAGAAGATGGGATGGACTAGTCATGGGTCTGAAATTTGTGTTTCCGTTTTGTTCCATCTATTTGGATGGCACGAAATGAGAAGGCCCCTCCTGGAACGAAAATGGATTCGAAACAAAAGGCAGGTGGGAGCAGATACCGGCGCCAAGCCTGGTTTTCAGATCGATTGCTGTGTGCATAGGGCCAAAGCCTGCTGCCAAGCGCCAAGTAAGGAGCGCTCCTAATTCAGACCTCAGCTGCAGACGCCCCAGCGCTTTGGGCCTACGGGTGCAGGCTTTTGGCCTACGCGCCCGAGCTTTGCAGGGGCCTGCAGCCAGGCGCTGAGTAAGGAGTGCTTCCTACTCAGCACGTGGCTGCAGGCCCTGCCAGGCCTGGGCACGTAGGCCCAAAGCCTGCACCCATAGGCACAAAGCACCCAGGCTTTGGGCCTACGTGCCTGGTTGCAGGCTTTGGGCCTACGTGCCTGGGGCTGGCAGGGCCTGCAGCCATGTGCCAAGTAAGGAGCACTCCTTACTTGCCACTCAGTTACAGGCCCTCCCAGGCCCGGGTGCATAAGCCTAAAGCCTGCATCTGAAGGCCCAGGTGCTTTGGGTCTACGGGTGAAGCCCCCCCCCCTCAATAAAGGGTTAAAAGAAAATTGATCTTTTGGCCCTGAAAACTAAACTAAACAAAACAAACGAATGTCTGACTTCCCAATTTTGGGAGGCTCAGACGAAATGGATCGAGGCCCCCACCTAAAGCCAGGACATGGAATGGATAAAGGTAAGCCGGAATGCCCATGTCTAGGGTGGACTTCATATTTGCAAGGACTACATTGTGTATTTGAACCCTAAGACCCACCAGTCAAAGCCTGGTACAAGAGACCACACACTTAGAATTAAAGACCAGGAATTTGCTTGTGGAAAGGACTGGGCAGAGTTCACAGGTTCCCCTTCACACAAAAATTCAAACCCCACATTTCAATAAGAAGGCATGTTGTTTTGTTAAAGCTAATAGATATCATTAACGGCGCTCCATGCAGTCATCCCGGCCACATGACCTTGGAGGTGTCTACGTACAATACCAGCTCTTTGGCTTAGAAATGGAGATGAGCACCACACCCCAGAGTTGGACACGACTAGACTTCATGTCAGGGGGAAACCTTTACCTTTACTAATGGATGTCAAGAGTCCTTGCTTAATGGATTTCCAATAGTAAAAGAATGACAGATGCAACTATGGGAAAACACACTATTAAATGAATAAATCAATGTTTGTAGAAAATTTATATTTACAGACAGTCATATCAAAGGGTCCGATAATGAACTGTACTGTTTATAGAAACACTACATACAAAACAAAATAACTAAAAATCCATAGCTAAGTATATAGCTAAGTATCATCAGAATTTTTTTCAAAGCCATTCATTCCTTGCCTCCCCCCTCCCCCGGCCACTTTGCAGAATAACATCTGCCAGACAGAATTTGCATACCTAACAACAGGTAAGGCTGCCTGTAATCCACGGACCAAGAGAAATGCTTCTGAGCTGAAAAGCTGTGCATAACCTTGAGCAACTTCTCCCTTGCCATTCCGCAGCTGTTGTGACCACCGGGCACGTCTTCAGGCAGAGATTCACAGCTGTCCCCGGTTG